ATCCAGCGCGCAAGTGCCGCTTCAAGCTCCGGACAGCCTCGTCCAGCTGTTCCGCAGCAGCAGCGCCACCCTCCGCGGGCGCAGCCAGCATGGGCGCCAGCAGCACGGCGAGCTGGTCTGCCGCATCCAAGCAAGTCTCGCGCGGACGGTCGCGAAACGTCTCAGGAGGGACTCCAGGGAGCGAGGAGTGAGCAAGGACTTGTATCAGCAGCAACGCGTGGAGGCTCTCTGCGAGGCGGTGGAGCTGACCGAGAGCCGACTCTGAAACACGCGTCTGCGGAGGCTTAAGCGCCCCCGCCAGGAACTGGAGCGGCTCATCAGCTGCACAATGAGCCGCTGCCGCGCCACCACTCGCGGCCACAAACTCCACCCCCACAACAGGCGGAACCGTCGGCAGATGCAGACGAGAGCCGGGAGATGGCGCCGCCACAGAAGGATAGGGAGCTGACGGGACGAGGACAGGGGAAGGAAGCGGAGCAGCCGGCGGAGGAACCACAGGAGGCACAGGTGGGCGAGGAGCCAAGTGCGCCGACGCAGCTTGCGGCGAACTGCTCTGGCTCTGCGCCGCCCTCTCCTCGCGAACGGCCCGGGACACCTCCCGCTGAAGATCCGCCATCGTCACAGGCAGACGATACCTTCCGCGACCACCACGTCCGGGGAAACCCCTCCAGTCACCATTGCCGCGAGTATGAGCAGGCCACTGGGCCTGTTGCTGATAGCGCCGTGGGGAGTTGCGCCGGCGCCGCGACGTCTCGCGCTCCTGTTGAGGCGCGGGAGAATGAGGGCGGGATTGGCGGCGGTTCGGCGACGGGGGACGAGACGGCTGCACCGCAAGGGCCGCCTGCAGTTGAGCGGGAGCCGCCGGTTCCGCGCCAGGAGGAGCAACCATCGGAGCCGGGTCGACACTGGTGGCGGACGCCGCCCTTGGGGAAGAAGCAGACGCCGGCACAGGCACGCCGTGGACAGACGCGGCCGGTACAACGAACGCGCCAAGCGCAGGGGCAGGACGTGCAGCAGCCCCCCCAGCAGACACAGGCGCCTCCGCCGCCTCCCCGGGAGCAGGGGGCACGGGAGCCACAGGCGGAGCGGGAAGAGGTTCAACATGTGCAGACGGGCCAGCCTCTACCACGCCTTGCGGAGCCACGGGTGCGTGGGGAGGAGTCCTTTCAGAGACTGCTGTCCCGGCGTTCGGAGCAGGCGGTAGAAGGGGTTTCGTCGCCGTGGTCCCCTTTTCGAGTGCCGACTGAGGCCTGGCGACGACAACCGACCAGGCGACAGCGCGCTCTGGCGACGGCTCATCAACTCCAGCAATCACCACCATCTCGGACGCGAGGAGATCGCGGGATGAACCACGTAGCAGGAAGCGGAGTTGGCGGGGGCCCAGAGAACGGATACCAAGCAGCGGCACGTGTGGCTTTAAGTAACTTACAATCAGCTAATGAAGCGGACGAGCGAAGGGACCCCTCTTATAGGAGAGACGCCACGCCGGATAGCGAGGATGAAGGGGAGGAGGAAGGAGACGGGGTGAGGGAGACCTCTGGGAGAAGACAAGCCGGGGCCAGGACAGCACAAGCACAACCGCTCCAGGAGGCACGCACGCCGCGCGATGCTGATCGGACGGTAGAGCCTCCAACATTTGCCTCACCAACGGGACCGAGTCGCGCTCGACGAAATCAGGCCGCGAGTAGGGGGGCTGCATCACGACCTGCCGCTTCGGCCCCCCGCTATTTTTCGTCTCAGGAATTGGCGAAGCGAACGGACCTGTTCGCTGCGATTGGGGATTGGGATGTCGCGGCCTTGTGCGACAGTCGTCAGCCCTCGCTGTCGCGGCGCTTTTCGCCAAACCTGTGTCAGCTGCTCTCGCTAGCGTTACTGACGCCGTTACTGCATCTCTCCCGAAACCCAGAGTCGGAAACAGGTTGGCGTCTGCTGTTGTTTCTCCCGCGCTTGACCCTTCGCCAAACCTCGCCGCAACGACCGGACTGGCCGAACGTCAAGGCCCGGCTGCGAGCATTCCAACGTGGCGAATGGGAGGAACTGTACCTGGACACGATTGCTGCAGTCAACGCGCCACCCCCGCCCCGGCACAGGCCAGACGTGACAGGAGTAATCAAACGGGCCGAGGGGCTGGCGAAACGTGGCAGCCTACGACGAGCCGTTCTTGCATTGGAGTCAACGCCCGTCTGCACGCCCAGCCCCGAAATCCTGGAGGAACTGCGCCAGAAGCACCCACCAGCTGTTGACGAGGAGGTGATCTGGTCGACACCGGAGAAGTCAACGCTTTCAATCGCTCACGCGGATTTCGCAAAGCTGTTGGGCAGATGCGAAAATGGAGTTGGGGCTGGGCCGTCGGGGATGACATTTGAGCATTTGCACGACTCGGCGATCACAAATGCGCTGGTCAGCACCCATCTGCACGCCCTGGTTAATATAATTTTGGGAGGAAATTTGCCCGACACGGTGGCGAATTTGCTAACCGCGTCGTGCCTCATCGCCTTGGCCAAACCGGGGGGTGGCGCTCGGCCAATCGCGATTGGCGAATGCTTGACGAGGCTAGCAGCCAAGGCAGCCCTGTTAGCAATGGGGGAGGCAGCTCGCGCCTTTTTCCTCCCTCTACAGTACGGCGTGGCAGTGCTAGGTGGCGCCGAGACTGTGATCCACGCGGCCAGGGCCTTCTTGTACGCCCGCCCCGATAGCCTCGTGCTGCAAGCTGACATCAGGAACGCATTCAACAGCATCTCGCGAAAAGCCATCGCCACCGCGTTACAGACCCCCGCCCTCTCGGCGCTCGTCAAGTTCACATACGGTAACCCGTCGCAGCTGCTCCTAGATGCGAACTTCGAGTCCGAACCACTGCGAAGCGAACGCGGTGTCCGCCAGGGGGACCCACTCGGCCCGCCACTATTCGCAGCAGGAATACATGCCACACTTTGCGATACGGCAGACACACACCCCGGGGTGCTCTGTTTGGCGTATGCGGATGACGTGACGTTCATCGGGGAACAAAGAGACACTGTAGCAGCATTTTCGTACTTCACCAACAAATTGTCACTCCTGGGGCTCGAGCACAACCCCCGAAAATGTGCTGCGTGGAGCTCCAGTACGGTACAAGCACCGCACCTACCCCCAGGAGTGCCGTTTTCAAACGACGGCGTCCAGCTACTGGGCAGCTTCCTGGGACTGGACGACGGCGCGGCTTCTTTTCTGGCGGAGCAGTTAGCCGACATGACGAAGACGCTGATGCTCATCAAACGAACGGATCCCCAGGTCGCATCACTGCTTATCACGCGATGTATACCGAGGCGTGTTGTTTACCTGACACGGACGACGCCCCTTAATCTTCTTCCCCGCGACAAATGGAGCCAGTGGGGCATGGACCTCCTCACCACGCTCCTTACCGCCTGCGACATCCGCATGCCGACTTGCCAATCGGAGCAAACGAGGGTTTGGGAGCAGGCGTCACTGCCTCCGTCATTAGGGGGGCTAGGCATTACGAACCCCTTGATTGAGGGGGTCTACGGTCTTGCCGCGAGTTTCACCCAGGCGGCGCTGTTTCTCAACGACCTCAAGCTGGGAGACGGGAATGCACTGAAGTAGGCACGGGACCACATGCTCCTGCCGCGGGACACCAGCACGCCACTTCACGTTTGGGTGAAGGAGTGTGAGGAGGCACTGCCGACAGACGCTCGTGAGATACTGGAAAAGGAGCGGTTGGAGCGATCGGACATACGTCTTCAACACGTCCTCGGGCTGCAGGTGCACTGTAGCAGATACGCCATGTAGGTCCAGGCAACTAGGCGGATGCGGCTGAACCCACTCTCAGGCCACACTCAGCGCATGTTTTCGCTGACGGGATACGGCGCCGGCGATTGGCTGACCGCGATACCCATTGAAGCGACTAGGCGGATTGGCCCCGTACATTTCGCCAACTCCGTCAAACTCCGCCTGGCTCTCCCCTTCTCGACTCCTAAGAATTGTGACTGCGCGGACAAAACGGCTATCACCGACCCTCGCCTGCCGAACCATCTCCTGCGCTGCGGCTTGGGCAAACACCGCATTAACAGCCACAACGAGCTGCGGGATGCATGCATTAGCATGGCGCAGCACGCAGGCTTCATTGTCCACAGCGAGTCGGCCGCCCATTGCCCCATCGAGGAGCAAACTGCCGACTTTACCATGACGGATCGAAGCAGTGGGGCGGTGTATGTGTGCGATGTCACTATCACGGATCCCATAAGCACGAGGGACCCAGAGGCGCAGAAAGACAGGGGATGGGCGGCACGGGAACAAGCTGATAAGAAGATCCAGCATTACGCCAACCGGCCGGAGACGGTTGGCTTTTTCCCACTGGCAGTCGACACCTATGGCTGCCCATGCGCGGAAGTACCAACCTTCCTGAAGCTATTAGCAGACACGGCGGCTCGGCGGCACTTCAACGCCGACTCAAAATCATACTATGCCGCAAAGTTTCTACATCAGTTTCGACAGAGATGGTCGGTGGCCCTTCAAAGGGCACAATCCGTGGGCCTCCTGATGAAGATGGGCGAGGCGGCTGCAGCTGAGAACCCGCCTATGGGCGGCATTGGGCAGGAGTTGCACCTTGGAGATTGCTTTGCAGTGATAGAGCCCCTCCTAGATCTTTAGGGGGGGTATATGGTAGGACTTTCCTTTGTGTGTATGCTTCTATACCTTGCATGCTTGTACGTGGCTGCCATATCAATACAAGGACCATTAGAGAGAGAGAGAGAGAGAAGGAAGATCCCTTAGCCTAGTACTTAAGCCCGGGAGCTATGCTCCCGAGCTCATTATTCCCAGCATAGTTGAGTTCCTTCTCTTGTGTCAGAGAACGACAAGGGAAATGACGACAAGACTTCGCAATGAAGATGGAAGCAACCTCAACTAGGAGTACCAACAAGGAGATCAAGAATCTAGCAAAATGACAACACCGGGCATACCACCGGCGACACTATGCTACCGTCGCCGACGCCGCCTTACAATCATCACGACACCTCCACGCGCCGCAGGAGCCGCTCTGTCGTCACGTCTACAAGGCGGAGTGCTGACGAGAGGCCTCGCAACACGTCTACGGCTGACCGCGAGCGCACTCGCGACTCCACCACCCTCATCACGTCGGCCACCGCCGCGCCCAACGCAGGATCTCCGTCGGGCTCCATCTCCGCCCGCTCCAATTCGTGCTGCAGCACCCACACGCCATCCCGACTTGCCCGCATCTGCGCGTGGTTCATCACGCTCAACTCCTCGGGAACATCCTCTAGAGCAGCAGCAGCATTGTCGATCATCAGACCAACGAAGGCCACAAACGACCGCTCGTGGCCCAGACGAGCGAGCACATGAGCCTCCACCTCAAGCACGCGGTGAACGTCAGCACGCCGGCGGGACAGCCCTCCCACAGCCACGCGAGGAGCAACCCGAATCCCAGAGTGCCGACGGGCTGCAGATCGCCGAGTGGGAGAGGCAGGGGGGGATTCAACCCCCGCCACCATCCCTGCTGCTGCTCCCGCCTCCAGCACTTGAGAGCCCAGAGGACCACCTGTCTGCGCTGCTTGAGGTTGCTGGCGAAGCATGGGAGGAGGCGGAGGCATTCCGTACAGGGGGAGCTCAACACGGCGACCATCCCCTGCCTCCGCAAACGTCTGATACACAGGGGGCCCACCCCCCGCAGGCACACACCACACCCTCGGTGGGAGGCGCAGAGGAAGCGGTGCCACGTCGGGCTGTCCTGCCAATGATTGCGGATCCGGGCGAGCGTGCGGAGGAAGCTGCTGAGGAGGAAGCTGCTGATGAAGGGGCTGCTGAGGGCGGAGCTGCTGCTGCGGGGGGAGTATCGGAGGTGGGGCAGGAAGAGGAAGAGGAGGTACAACGGCTGGAGGATGAGGCGCCAAGTCGAGTGGGGGAGGTAGCTGGCTCACGGACGGCACGACGGGAGCATCTGGACGCGACAACGAGCGCACCCTTTCATCCAGCCCATCGAGTGCGCGCTCCACAGCGGCGGTCACTGCCGCAGTCGCGGCTGCAGTCGCCGCAGTTGCGGCTGCAGTCGCCGCAGCCACAGCCGGAGCAGGCTGATGGGCACGCCATCGGCGGGGGGCACGACGGGAATGCGACTGGCCGCTGCCGCCACCCTGGTTTCGTGGCGGCGGAGACGGGCGACGAGGCGACGCACGGCGCGGAGAGGCCTGACGAGGGGACTCGCGCCGACGCAGAGATCCCCCCCACGGAGACGACGCTTGGGAGCGTGAGCCCTGTGTGACATCAGGCCAGAGCGCTGGAGACGGCGACTGAAGACGCGACGGCGGGCTGCGCCGCACCCCTTGAGGACGCAACGGCGAGCGCTCCCGCCCGCGGGTTCGCGAGCCCGCCATTGCCACGCGCGGGAGCGGGTCGTCAATGGTGGACTCCGCCGGCGCGCTCCACGTTGCGCCCCGATCCGAACGCTCCAGAGCGGCGTCCGGCGTCAGTGCCGGTGAGAGGGCGAAGCGTGACGACGCACAGGCGCGGAGGCCGCGGACGAGGCCGCCGCAGCCGAGGAGAGGGCGACGCGAGCGCTACTTCGCGAGGCGGAGGGGGTACCACAGACTTCAGGCGTGTAACGCGGGGGCTGCTAAGATAAGCTGAGGAGGGAGACAACACGACGACTGCGAATGACAAAAATGATCAGGGTGACCCCCTTTTTACACTCGATGGGGCGGGGAACTTGGAGTCCTCGTCCGAGGATGAGAGCCTGGAAGAGCTGGCGCCCAGATCTGCGAGACGCCAAGCTACCAACATTCGAGCCGGATCTGGAATTCCCCCGCCACCGAGCCAACCAACCTTTTCGCCAGCAGACCTGGCGAAGCGCAGGGACCTTTTCGCCCAGGTTTCCACCTGGGACCTTTCCAACCTGAGTGATAGCCGCCAACCTAGCCTGGCTAGGCACCCTCCCAAAGCAATTCGCGATGCCTTTGCGAAATGCCTCCTGACCCCCCTCCTTGCCCTCGCCTCCAACCCTGACTCCGAACCTGCCTGGCGACTGCTGCTGTTCCTCCCGCGCCTAATCCTCCGTGTTCCCAACACCAAACGCCCAGATTGGCCAGCCTGCAGCAGCTGTATCCTCTCATTTGACCGCGGGAATTGGCAGGAATTATATGAGGAAGCGGCCAAGGCTATTCAGCTCCCAGCCCAACCCAGACACACTACCGACGAGATTGGTTGCCTGGCCAGAGCTGAAGGCCTGGCCAAACGTGGGAATTTGAGAAAATCCCTCCAAGCCCTCCAGGCCACTCCTGTGGCCCCCACCATGCCTGACACCCTGACTGCCCTCCAAGCGCGCCACCCTCCTGCCGAACTACTCATCCCTGACTGGGTTACCAGCCACGCCACTGACACCCCACCAGCCATACCCCTTCGCGACTTCCGCAAAATCATCGCCAAATGCCCCAACGGAGTTGGAGCTGGGCCCTCAGGCACAACCTTCGAACACTTGCGTGATGCTGCTCTTGGGAACCCCGATGTCTGCCAACACCTCCACGCACTCACCAACACAGCTCTCGCGGGCCAGCTGTGTCCCGAGGCAGCATCGCTACTCACAATCTCACGACTGATCGCGTTCGTCAAACCTGGAGGAGGGATCCGCCCCATAGCAGTTGGCGAATGCCTCCCCCGCCTTATCGCGAAATGCGCACTATACCTGACCGGCGCGGCCGCTCGCGACTTCTTCACACCTCTCCAACTCGGCGTAGCAGTACCAGGGGGGACGGAAGCTGCCATCCATATCATCCGCACATACCTGGAGGAAAAACCTACCGCGATCGCACTCCAGATGGACATAGCCAATGCCTTCAACGCCATAGAACGAGCGGCCGTCTTCGAAGGCCTGCAATCCACCCCACTCGCCCCCCTGCTCCCCTTCGTTAGACTCACATACGGCTCCGCCTCCACCCTACAAGTGGACGCGGGCTTCAACGCAGCTTCTCCAACGAGCGCACGTGGAGTCCGCCAGGGCGACCCAATGGGGCCGCTACTCTTTGCGGCTGGCATTCAACGCTCACTTACCGCCACCGCCGCTGCGTTTCCGAACGTCGTCATCATTGCCTACGCGGACGATATCACATTCCTCGGCCCCGCATCCGCCTGCACCTCCGCCTTCAACCACCTCACGGCCGACCTCCTCCCCATCGGCCTAGCCCACAACCCTGCAAAATGCGCAGCCTGGTCACCTGGCCCCATGAACGACGCCGACCTCCCCACTGGGATCCGCTTCAACCGCGCCGGTTTGCGGGTCCTCGGCAGCCCAGTCGGATCAGCCGACGGCTGTGCCACGCAGCTGCGGGAAAAGCTCGCTACAGCAAGCTCTCCGCTGCCACTAGTGGGGCGCATGGATCCCCAACTCTCCTACCTTCTGCTCACCCGCTGCATCAGCCGGAGAGCATCCTTCCTCGCCCGCACCACCCCTCTGGCCCTCCTGCCCACAGCTGAATGGTCCGCGTGGGGTGAACGGCTGCTACACACTCTGCTTGCCGCGGCGCAAATCTCAGAGCCGCGCGCGCAGGCGGAGAAGGAACGGATCTGGAACCAGGCCAGCCTCCCCGCCACCATAGGAGGCTTGGGACTCACTGACCCAAGCACGGAAGGCTCCTACGCCTACCTGGCGTCGGCCGTCGCAACAGCCCACCTCCTGCGCTCCCTTGGCTCCAAGCTGCACCAGGAGGTGGCTGAACTTACGCCACTGCTGGACGCGGACCCTACCAATCCAGCTGCACTGCCCCAACGCCTGGCCGCCGCGGAAGCCAGTCTTCCCCCCTCAACAGTGGCTGTGATGAAGGTCGGGAGAGAGAAGGGGGACGGGCTGAAGCTGCAACACGCACTGGCGCTGCACGTCCACTCAGCTAAGGCTGTCGCCGGCGTCCGTAGCAGCCGGCGCATGTCCCCGAACCCGCTCATGGGCCACACGCAACGCCTCCTATCCCTCCTCGGACCAGGAGCCGGCGATTGGCTGGCGGCACTGCCCCTGACGAGCGCCCTTCGACTCTGCCCCGCCCACTACTCCCAATCCATCCTCTTCCGCTTGGGCCTTCCCCCACCCAATCCCGCGCCAATGCGACTGCACCAAGGCTGTCAAGATCCTGGACAGCCGCTTGCCAAACCACCTGCTGCGCTGTGGGACAGGGAAGGGACGGACGAGCACGCACCATGCCCTGCGGGATGAATGCGCCCGCATAGCCAAAGAAGCAGGTTACACAGTCCACAAGGAAACAGCGCAGTATACGCCGGTCGAAAACCTATTCGCGGACCTCTCGATCTGCAATCCCATCACCGGCCGTATACTCATCTGTGACATCACTGTCACCGACCCCATCTCAAAATGCGACAAGTACGCACGAAAAGGGACGGGGTGGGCTGCCCGTGTGGCCGCAGACAAGAAGACGGACAAGTATGCAATACGGAATGATTGGGTGGGGTTGATCCCCATGGCGGTCGAGACCTACGGCTGTACCTCACCGGGGGTCTTGGAGTTCCTCAAGATGTGCGCCCACCTGCCTGCCAACCTGCGCTTCAACGCCCCCCCTACCTCAGCGGAAGCAGCCAAGCTGTTCCACGAGTACAGGCAGCGCTGGAGTATCACTCTGCAGCGCGGGCAGGCGCACGCCCTCAATCTGAAAACTCACACGGCCATGGAGGCGGACGAGGCTGGGATAGCGGATGCCATCGAACCCCTAGCTGAAGGTTACCTGTTTCAACTCCTAGAACCCCCGCTTGGACCCCTTGTGGAACAGGCGGGTGGCGAGTAGGATGATTGCCTCACCATCAACCTTACATGCTTGTATGCATAGTGCTTAATAATACAACGGACCATTCGAGAGAGAGAGAGAGAGAGAGAGCGAGAGAGTGAGTGAAAAAGTGAGTGAGGGAGTGAGTGAGCAAACGAGTGAGGAATAGAGCGAGGAAGGAAGTGAGTGAGTGAGTGAGTGAGTGAGCGAGTGAGTGAGTGAGTGATGTACGAGGTGGGCGGAGGCACGTTGGCTCGCAACATTCTCGACCGCCTGCAGGCGAAGGCTCCTGCTGAATCTGAGCAGGAGCCTTCTGTATCGCCTGTACCGGCGCTGCCAATACACGTGAGTGAGTAAGTGAGTGAGAGAGAGAGCGAGTGAGTATGCCTTTGCTTGCTGGTTGTTTTGCCAAAGCTCCTCTTTTCCCCTCTTCTTTCCTCTCCCCTCTCCCCTCTCCCCTCTCCCTTCTCTCAGCTCGGTGGAAATCAGCCCAGCTCTCGCCCGAAGGCAAAGAGAGAGAATCACTGGCTATGCGTTGAAGCATGGCAATGCGGGTGATTCAACTGCTTCAACTGCCACACATACTTCAGCTGTCTCAGCAGCCACACCTGCCACACCTGCCACACCTGCCACGCCTGCCACTCCTCTTTCCGCTGCCACAGCCGCCCCAGATTCTGGCAGTCAAGATGGCGCCGCCTTAAGTGTTGGCAGGGCACGGCGAGGGGCCAAGGGCGCACGGGACGGCTCTGCCTCTCGTGCTGCTTTGAATGGTGCTGCTTTGAATGGTGCTGCTTTGAATGGTGCTGCTTTGAATGGTGCTGCTTTGAATGGTGCTGCTCGGCGCTCCCCCTCGCTTGAGTTGGTGCACTCCGTGGCGGTGTTTGATGCTGCTGATGTGTGCGGCTGGGGTGAGTGGTGGAGTGGAGTGCATGTGAGGGGTGAGTGGGGGGGGGGGGTGGGGGGGTGGTAAGATGGGGGAAGAGGATGGGGAGCGAGGGGTGCCGCTAGGGATGCTTCTGGTGATGGTTCGGATGGTGCTTCTCATTGCTCCTCACATGAGTCGGTGCATTCTGTGGCCTGGTGAAGCATCTGGTGTTTGATGCGGCTGATGGGGGAAGTTTTCCTCCATCTTGCGTCTGGGGTGCGTGTGGCTGTGCTTGTGTGGATATTTTGAAGTGGGAGGACGGGAGGAGGGGGGTGTGTGTCGGGGGAGTGAGGGACGGGTGGGTGAGGAGATGGGAGACAGGGAAGGGAGGGGTGTGAGTGGGGTGGGTGCATTGGTGCATGTGTTTGGCACTGCTCGCACCAAGCGGTGCAGTGTGTTTGGGATAAGGTGGGGGAGGAGGGAAGTGGGGAGGGGATGGATGGACTGACGGATCCGTGGGTCATGCACGCTTGTGTTCTGTACTGTGTTAACTCAACTCATCGTCATCATCATCATCATCATCATCATCATCATCATCATCATCATCATCATCATCATCATCATCATCATCATCATCATCATCATCATCATCTTCGTGCTGATTCATCGTTTGTCTCATCATGACGTCACCATGTCATCATGACGTCACCATGTCATCACAACGTCACCATGCCATCATGACGTCACCATGCCATCATGACGTCACCATGCCATCATGACGTCACCATCTCATCATGACGTCACCATGTCGTCATCATGCCACCATCACGCCATGTGTGTCGCAGGTGCGCCATCCAACGATCCATGCTTCATTCTCTTATTCGAGGTGAGCAGCAGCAGCCTCCCTCCCTCCAATCACTCGATAGATAACACGGAGAGCACTGCACAATCACAGCATGAGAGGGAAACGCATGTTGAGGATTTTCAGGAGATCCCAGAAGTCCGCTCTTGAGGCGCCCCCTAGGAACAATGAACACGGACTCTCAGGAGAGCTTGGGAATTTGGAATTTGGAAGCTTGGGAACAATGAATTCGGAAGCTTGTTGTCACTTCTCCCTCATCTGCCTCCCATGCACCTCCCATCCATATCGCATCCGCCCTTTCTCTCCTCCTCCCTGTGCTCTCAGGTGCTGGACAATCTGCTGCACGACAGGGTTCAGTGGAGCAGGGAGGGCAGCGAGTGGAGAAACACTATTTTCGTTGCCTCTTCTCACTCATTTGCCCATGCACCTCCCATGCACCTCCCATGCACCTCCCATGCACCTCCCATGCACCTCCCATGCCCCTCCCATGCACCTCCCATGCCCCTCCCATGCACCTCCCATGCCCCTCCCATGCACCTCCCATGCCCCTCCCATGCACCTCCCATGCCCCTCCCATGCACCTCCAATCCATTGCCCATTCACCCTGCCCTCTCCCCCCTGCCGGGTGCCCTCAGGTGTTGGACAACCTACCACACGACAGGGTGCAGTGGAGCAGGGAGAGCAGCGAATGGATGGAAACACGAGTGAAGCATGCGGGAAGGGAGGGGGAAGCGGAGGAGAAGGAAAGGGCAGGGAAGAGGCATGGTGGACAGGTGGAGGAGGCAGGGAGGAGGCATTTAGAGGGAAGGGAGGGCACAGGGAGGCCGTACGAGGTGCTTCAACCCATCAGCGATCCGCTCATTTGCCGATGCCTTGCTGCAGTATTGGTAAGGCTGACGCGATTTCTGGTTCGGATTGCAAACGTCGGTGCAGTGTTGGTGAGGCTGGAATTCGCACCAGAAATCGCACTGACATTCACCAAGAAAATGTACTAGAAATGTGATTTGCACCGAAAATTCCCCCCGAAATTTCACTTGAAATTGCTCTGGGAATGATGCACCGAATGGCCGCTGAGATGCACTGCACTGAGGGGATTGCTGAGGGGATCGCTGATGGGCTCAAAAGTCTAGATCCGATTTTTTTCTCCCTTAGGACTGCCTCTCAGGGGACCAAGAGAATCATAGAAATGCCACTATCGATTTAAAGCGCCTCCTGCCGTGTCCTTTTCATGAGAACTCATAAGAAAATACTGGAAACATAACGTAAGTGCCTCAAAACTACCCTCTTGCTTTTCAATCCTCCTCATCTCATACGAATACTTCCCCTCGTTACCGTTGCAGAACAAGAGTCCAGCATCTGCTACCACTAGCAGCAGCAGCAGCGGCAGCACCAGCAGCACCGAAACCACCAGCAGTGGCGGCGGCGGCGGCGGCGGCGGCGGCGGCAGCAGCAGCGGCATGTTGGCACGGCTGTCCGCATCGTTGCAAGGACTGGTGGCGTCGGTGGTGGGCGGGGAGAGGGTTATCTGGCTGCCCACGGGATGCCTGGTGAGTGCTGCCCACGGGATGCCTGGTGAGTGCTGCCCACGGGATGCCTGGTGAGTGCTGTGCTGCCTCCGTGATAATAAAAGTGATTTGAGGCGTCTCAAAACACTTTTATTACCACGGTCATTGCTGTAGTATCATATCCTCTTGCCACACTCCGCACCCAACTACCTAGTCCCCCTTTCCCCCACCGGCTTCTCTCCCCTTAACCCCTTTCGTCGTCCTCCCCTCGAGCGGCTGCTGCAGGCCAAATACACAGTGCCCCCCTGCGCCTTGTGCAAGAGATGGGAAAGTATCGACCATGACTTTTCCTCGTGGTGACTTTTGAGTCGACTCAGAAGGTCAACCCGTTGCGTCTTGTGCAAGAGTTGGGAAAGTTCCGACCATGGTTTTTCCTTGCTCTCGTTTTCCCCACCTCTTCCCCCCTCTTCCGTCCTGTTCTTCTCCCCACCAGCGTCTACTGGAGGCCATATACACAGCTCGCCCCAACGCCACCGTCATTGCTGCTGACTTCTCTGTGCTGCAACACTCCCCGCCCGCTCTCCCCTCGCTTCTCTCCCCCTCCCCACCAGCGTCTACTGGAGGCCATATACACAGCGCGCCCCAACGCCACTGTCATCGCTGCTGACTTCTCTGTGCTGCCCGACGTGCGAATCCCAGGCGCCAACGCCCCCCTCGTGGCTGCCAAGGTGAGGCAGTGAAGGGCGGTACAGTGGGGTTTCATGCGGGACAGTGGAGTTTAATGCGGGACAGTCGGGTCTGGACTCTGAGCCGACTCGCTAAAGCCACCGCCATAGCTGCTGACTTCTCCGTGCTGCCCGATGTGCGAATCCCAGGCGCCAACGCCCCCCTCGTTGCTGCCAAGGTGGGGTTTGGGGCAATATGGTTGGGGTCTGGGGCGGTACGGTGGGGTCTGATGCGGTGTGGTGGGGTGTGAACACTGAGCCAACTCGCCAACGCCACAGTTGTCGCTGCTGACTTCTCCGTGCTCCCCAATGTGTGAATCCCAGGCGCCAATGCCCGCCGCCAAGGTGAGGCTGTGAGCGGAATGGTGGGAATGGTGATTTGGAGCGATGGGTTTGGGGCGGCACGGTGTCTTGCCTTGCATGCAATGCGATGCGACCGCTTTTTTAGGCGCCTAAAGAATTGATGGGTTCGGGGCGGCACGGTGCCTTGCATGCTATGCGACCGTGCTTTCCGTGTGATTGCAATGGCGATAGCATCCCATCTGCAGCAGCTCTTGGCGGCTCGTTTCACTCGTTGCCTTCGTCTGTGTTCCCAGAGCTGGTTGTCACTCATTGTCGTTCCCAATTGATCCCCGTGCTCCGCATTCTCTCTTGCTCACTTGCCCCCATGCCTCCATGCCTCCATGGCCCCATGCTTCCATGCCTCCATGGCCCCATGCTTCCATGCCCCCATGCCCCCATGCCTCCATGCCTCCATGGCCCCATGCTTCCATGCCTCCATGGCCCCATGCCTCCATGGCCCCATGCCTCCATGGCCCCATGCCTCCATGGCCCCATGCCTCCATGGCCCCATGCCTTCATCCCCCATGTGAAGCGAGGTTGTTTTTGAGACGTCTCAAAAACAACCTCGCTTCACGTCACTTGCCTCCATGCCCCCATGCCCCCATGCCTCCATGCCTCCATGGCCCCATGCCTTCATCCCCCATGTGCCGAAAACGCCAGGGTGGAGGCATCACTCAAGACCAATCCACATACCTCGTCCCTCGTGTAAGGAGCAGTACACTCTGTGCTAGTTGTAGTCACTTATGCTTAATACCTCGTTTCACAGTGTGTTCCGTTTTAATCTCAGAATTCTTAGCAGCTTGTTTGCACCGATGCACATTTTTCCCTTGTTTTTCCTTGCCTCTCGCAAGGCTCGGCAGGCATTTTTATGGCTCCCAAACAAACCTTTCCTCCATTCCTTGCACTGACGCACATATGCCTGTAACAGGGCTCGGCAGACATTTTCTTTCCAACGAATTTCGGGCTGCTTGAAAGGCTTGATGCTGTTGCTTCGGCCCCAACCAGAGTGGAGCGGATTCGCGGCTCGGTAAGAGCTTTGCTCCTATGTTGCTTGTAGCATACCAACCAAACAATACGGTAGCTTGTCACATCAATGGAATAGAAAAATCTCTCCACTCTGATGGTCCCTTCGCCCTCCTAGACTCATTCTCACTCGGATGACTCTCTGGCCACATCTCGTTATCGTGTTGATTTTATACCCAAGTAATTCTGCATATGAGTTATATATTGCAGACGTTCCTTCATGCTAACTCTGCTTGGCCCATAATTATCCACTACTGGTATCCATCAGTCTTTCCTCTGCTGCTCTTGTACCTGCCTCAGATCCCGTCTGCAGAGTTTCTGTCTGCTATTGCTGCAAATACCTACACCAAAGATGGTTTCAATCCCTTGCTCCATGACTTCTCTAACACGCGTATATTTGTTAGCGCCCCCAACTGACGTGATGGTGTCAGGCTGTTGTATGTGAATTTTCCAATTCTGTAAAACGCGGATGTTGTGCACAAAAGGTTCCAACCGTCGGATTTCTATCGTCCAGTAACTTTTGTCCGTCCGATCACATCGGTGTTTGCAGCGTCAAGGGAAAACGACCTGTTGACTAGTTAGAAGAAACCTGGATTCTTCTCGATTCACTGTTTGTTTCCGCGCAATCCGGTTTGCGTCTCCATTGGCCAACCTTGTCCGAGCCTCCGGTGAAGTAAGTAACTGGAGGTTGCTGTCGGCGAAGCAGACAGCTGCGGAACGAGCCTCGCGCTCCGTTCCCACCAGCCACTCACGGGCCAGATTACAGCTCGCCTCAACGTCGAGCCACGTCCGCCAGCCAAAGACCTCGCACACCGCCGAGCCTCCACACAAAGCGCACGTATCTGGGCCATAGAAGCGGCTCGGGTTGATGTTGGCTGAAGCACACTCAATTCCCTCAGCACACGCAATTTGCCCCCTTTCCATCGCCTTGCCAGCCAAACCTTTGCCGCAATTTTCGCCAATTTTAGCACTTACCTCGCCCACCGTTTCTCGGCCGCCTCCCTGCCTAAACGCCAACGTCCTCGCTAGCACTAACAAACCTAACCGCCACTGTTTTAACCAGATCTAAACCATCTCACCACACCACACCGAATTCAAACACCACACTCGCACCACACCAGGGCCCCCCTTTCCCTGACAAGCATAAAAAAGCGCCTCTGCTCTCGCCACGATTACAGCGCAGCTACCAAGTCAAGAAAGTGAAACATTTCACTTGCGAAGGTGATTCAGTCAACCGACCCAGCGCCGCTCCAGTTCATTTCGCTTTGACGCCGCACAACTTCATCTCTCCTCCCACTGCTAGCCGCCAGCGCCATGGCCGCCGAGTACCCTCCTCCTGAAAGCAACCCTCCGTACGCCGGCGGTCCGCCGCCGACAGATTACGCGCCGCCGCCAGCCTACCCACCGACGGGCGCAAACCCTCCTCCACCCGCGGGCTACGCGGACGTTGAGGCGGGCGGCGGCGCGGGAAAGCCGCCCGCCGCGACTGGCGGCGGCTCGGGTGGGTCGTCGAGGATGTCAACGTTCATCGGCATCGGGCTGCGCATCGCCGAGCTGCTCCTCTGCATGATCTCCTTCTCGTAAGTCGCTTGCCACGAGGTAATTAAGTTCTTTTGAGACGTCTCAGAACTTTATTATTGCTCGAGTCGCCGAGCTTTCCTTTGCATGATCTCCTTCTCGTGAGTCAATCTCGACGACGCAGTCCGACTTTAACGACGCTACGGAACTAACATGACTCTATCAGCCAAGTCCAGCTACACCAATAATCAGTGCGGGCGCGTTTGTGCTCGTCCTGACCCCTCGCCTTTCCTCCAGCTCACCCTCGCCCACTCTCCCCCCTTCCACGCTTCTTCTTTCCCCGCTTCCCTTCCCCGTTTTCCTCTCAGCCTGCTCGTGTCAACAAAGTACGACTACACCAAGCTAAGCGCGGGCGCGTTTCTCCTCGCCATGACCATCATCGGCTTCATTCTCGCCTTCTTCCTCCTCGTGATTCTCGTCGCGTCGCTCTTCGTCTCCGCGCTCCGCCCTTTCCAGGGCAAGCTGCGCCTCTTCCAAGTCGCCGAGTGCTGGGTGAGTCTCCTGCGCGTTTGCCCGCCTCGCTGTTCATCCCGTCCGTCTTTGCTCACCCGTCCGTCTTTGCTCACCCGTCCGAGATTCCTTTTCGCTCACTCGTCTTCCATGCCACCCCCCCTCCCTCCTTCCTACCTTCCACCCACCAATCTGTCGGCTTCCCCCTCCGTCCTCGTTGCTCCCTCACAGCTGCTCTCGCTGCTCCTCTTCGCGGCGGCGTGCACGGCGGGCGCGCAGGCGTCGGGCTGCGTCAACACGCCAGGAGGCACCTACTTAGGCTACAACATGTACGTGTTTCCATGTCGCCGAGAGTGGTTGTCGGGTATCTTTTGAGTGGTTGTCGGGTATCTTTTGAGTGGTTGTCGGGTATCTTTTGAGTGGTTGTCGGGTATCTTTTGAGTGGTTGTCGGGTATCTTTTGAGTGGTTGTCGGGTATCTTTTGAGTGGTTGTCGGGTATCTTTTGAGTGGTTGTCGGGTATCTTTTGAGTGGTTGTCGGGTATCTTTTGAGTGGTTGTCGGGTATCTTTTGAGTGGTTGTCGGGTATCTTTCGACTTTTGAGGTGCCTCAAGAGCACGGCGGGCACGCAGGCGTCGAGCTGCGTCGTGGGGAGACAATTACTTTTAACTACTACATGTCCCGTGTTCCGCTGTCGCAAACAAGGTCTATTATCCACTTTTCTTTTATTGCAGAGTGTTCTTCACACCTTTTCGTTACCAGCAAGCAATTCTTTAGCGGTAAACACTTCTATGTATGTACATCCAACCGGTAACCAGACCGAAATTAGCGTGTATTCTGTGTACCTATACTAATCCCTCCCCATTCGTTCTTGACCTGCTGCAGTTCTGGTAACAATGACTGCGGGCTGATCAAAAGATTCGTCACCATGGCCTTCCTTGACTCCTCTCCCTTTGAGTCCATTCAACCACCACCCTCCTTTTCCCCTTCTCTTCCCTCCCCATCCGTTCCTGACCTGCTGCAGTCCCGGTAACAATGACTGTGGGCTGATCAAGGGATCTGTTGCTATGGCCTTCCTTGCCGCCTTTACCTACATTGGCGGATTCTGGTACGCGCTTTCTCTCTCTGTCCCTCTCCTACCATCCCCCATCCCCCCTCCCTCCATCCGACCTCTTGCTTATTCTCTTTCTCCTCCATTCTCTCATACCTTCATCACAACCCTCTTGCACCCATTCAACACCTCCACTATGCCACTCATGGTGTCTTGCCCTTCAATGTTCTGTCAACTACCCTCCCCACGTTTTGCTTCCACAGGTACTACGCACTCTTGTCATATTACAGGCGATAAAGCCCATGGCAGGAAAATGGGGCAATATTTATTAAGCAGTCAATAGCTGCCTGATCTGTAATAAGTTCAAGAAGGCTCTCCTGTAAAACTTACCCTAGCAGTTTGTTTTCAGCTTGTATCTCATTGAGTGCTTTTAATCAAACGGTGACATTGTCGGGCAATAGTGATTGCAAGTTTACGGTAGCATGAATGCTCTGGGCAGCGCTATGCTCCGTTGACTCTTCTCTGTGCGTTGTGCTGGCCTCTTGATATCAGGGTAAATCACCCTTATGGCCCTTACTAAAAGGGTGGGTTTAGGTGTTCACCCTGATTTTACAGAGTTGTATTTTAGGGCGCCCTTACAATAAAAAGTGAATTTTTGTGTAACACTGATATATCAGACCGACCTGGTGTACTCGCCCTGATGACAACGAGTAGTGTTGGGCAGGGCCTCAGATTCCAGGAATTTTACCCTGATTTCCTGATGTTTGACCTCGGTTTTTTATTGTAACCCTGATGAATCAGCCTTTTTGTTTTTACAACCCTGATGAATCAGTGTTTTTCTTTTTCTAATCCTGATTTTCCAGTGTTTCTAGTTTGTCGACACTGACGAGTCAGTGTTGTATCGGAGACGACCCTGAAACCGGAAACTCTCGCAGTTTTTGCGCGCCGTCATCATGCATGAACCCATCCTGCACCGACGCCACCCTGCGGCGCGCCCAGATACAGTTGAACGGGTTAATTTCGGGCTGTGTTGGCAAAACGGCGTAAAGAGATTGGCTGTCCCAGCTGAAGCAATGTACCGTTGTCACGTTGGATAACCTACACTTGTCATTACTTTCCATTGATGTGCACAAACAACCAAGCCTAGTGGCCCAGTGGGCCAGTGGTCTGCCTTGTTCTTTCCACCAAGGCAGGGCGTGCTGGGGCGGCCCGCTCAGGCACCCCACGTAGGGGGTCTCGTGATTCTGCCATTCCAGCTCTCCAGACTCCATCCCTTTCCGAAACATCAATCTCTGCAGTCTCCCTGAAGCCTGCTCGGCAGGCTCTCTCTCTCCCAGGGTTTCTCGTTACTACTCACCGATTCAGGAAGGTGACGTGAACGCACCATGGCGATCACCGGTGAGAACAGCTGCGGTGATGATGACG